GCCTGTTAAAGGCAGACCTGCTCAAAAAATAGGATATACTTCTTTTGTCTCAGCAGTTAATGTTCAAACCGTTTAATCACCTTCTTCATCTAGGATAAACAGGGTTGTTTGGTTTTCGCATCACGGAAGACTGCGACAAACAACAATAATATCGATATGTCAAGCAGCTTCAATTTCCTCCAGCAATTTTAGAATCAGTTCGAGTGCTATTTGCCCTGCTTTTCGAACTGCGACCAAGTACTCACGATGTGTTTGACGCATTTGAATCAGTACGATACCTGGTGTAAAATCTGAAGAGCTCTGGCACAAGAAGCTAACGGACAGTTGAGGAAAGCTCTTTTAATCTTCGACAGTACGTAGCTGGAGTGCAAATCAGTATCTTAACACCGGCGCTATTCAGACACGAAATATATTCATCAGCGACGTTCCAGTGCTGTCAGTGCATGTCTAACGGATATTGCGCAGACATGTTATAATTAATTGTGCCGCTTGGTTTCCATCCAAGATTTGGTGGAAAGTTCTACTTAATGAAAAAGGAAGTAAGAGGGGACAGGAAAGTTTGGAACAGTTTGATCACCGATATCTTCCACACTATCATAATTGGGGGCCACTTCTGGCACCCTCCTTTACACAAAGTTTATAGTGCAGTTGGTCTACGTTTCCATGCCGTCAGCCGGGCTTGCCCTATGTCAAAGGCACGGTCGCCAGCGGCATTTTCACAAGCATAGTGTCTAGTGGTCACTATCAACGTCGGAAGAAAGAAAGACGAGTGACCGAGTTATGACCTTCTGGTTCCGAGTCTGACGCGTGAAAAAGAAAACAGTGAGCTACAAGTATTTGCCGGACATTATCTTTAAACTGCTTCAGAAGCTCTACTTGATGATGCGACGAAGATCCATCGCTTGCAACACAAGAATGCCGCTGTGCCTCAAACCATCGATTGAAATCGACAGAGTAAGGCAGTAACACTCGATCACTGGATGAAAACCATAATCAGAGCTGCAGCATAAATCCAAAGGAAAAGAGGCGTACTGAAAATAGTGCCCACGAAGAAGATCGACATCAAACGGCTGACCACAGACGCTTCGTACAAGCCAAACAGTCCAATCAGCCATCTCACCTACGTTGGGCAAGTAACCACAGCGAAAGTCCTGATTTTAACGATACAACAAAACAACATTCGACGGAAAGTTAACGATTTTGGCACAGAGAGCGTCTACCTCGGAAGACGGAGGAACACGCGAGGATTCAACGGTAGAATACGAAAAATGAGAAAAGTTTCTCCTACCTCAATCTGCGTGGTCGTGTCGAAACGAAGGAACTTCGTTATGATCAGAATTGACTGGAAAACGACCAGCACGAAACAGATGACGCAGACGACGGTCCAGAAAGTGCCCGCTTTCCTGGAGTCCGCCGAGCCGATGCGAGGGATGCCATGGGCGGTGGTGCTGTCGCAGAATTCGAGCAGCAGGTTCTTGAACTTCCGTCTGCGACTTTTGTCCACCGTCTCTTCCACGTAGTAGTGCCAGTTCGTACTGTCGTCCAGTAACGGTACGGGAAGCGACACGTTGACGGATGTCTGGTCGTCACCGTCTTCTTTATCCATCGCCCGGCGTCAGCAGCTTGATCAACGACACTGCGAGCGTTGATCTCCCTCAAACAGGTGACTGGCCATCGGTCAGTGCTATGATTTGCTTTTCACCGCAAAGACAGTGAACCGCAGGGGGCACAGCAGTCGAACGGCTATACCGTCAGCAGAAATATTCAAGTCTCGTCACCAACGATGACCTCGAAGCGAATGCGAACTATAATACACCAATCAGACGGATTTGACCGAACAGATAGCCGCCTGCGTTAAAAGAGCCGCTGCGAAACGACCTCTGTTTCGTCACGGAGCGGCAGCGCCGTGAAGTGACGGAGGCGGATTGCCTAGAATGCTTGGGGACATCTGTTACATGAGCGAACTTCTGTCGAGAGACCTCTTTCCTCCGCCCAACACCAGCCAGTGCTCCACTCTCTCCTCGTGTTGCCGCCGCTGCTGTTTCGGTTCCTCTCACTCACTCAACCTCTGCTTCGCTCACACGTGCACCTCTTGACGTAACGCGAGTTGAACAGGGCCTGACGACTGGTGTCAGTCTCGCACTGCTCGGTAGATTCGCATTATTCTTCGTCGGTTGACGAGTTTTTGTCACTAATCATGATAATGGATTATTATTCAGTCTTACCATCCCGTTGAGGTCTTGTCGGCAGCACGCAGCTGTTCCTTCGGCACATGCTT